GCATACGCGTCAAAGAATATCTGGCAGTAAAAAGGTGTGGAAGTCTACTTACACCACTTGGTAGGCACCGACTAGGAGGACGTCAAGGCAGTGGTTTCGACATCGAATGTAAAATCCTAGCCTACGAGAACGAGATCGGTGCCAGAAAGATACTGGAAGCTTTACATATTCGCACGAAAAATCCGAGCCCGAACAACCGAAATGAGCGCTTGGCCATAACCTGAGAACTCTTGCAGTTCATTTCCTTCTGTGGACTTGAAAATCACCCGCATAATTCTTATCTTACGATCATCAATGGTGCCTCATTGATCCTTTGTTGTTCACATAGAGTGGGACGTAACGCTGTTGGAACCGCAGAAGGTTGGCCTTTTTGCTGGGAACTTTTCCATGTTTGAGTTTCCAAGAGTCGTTGCAACTAGCCTAGCGCGTTTGGGCGCTTGGTCGGGTAAGACACAAATAAGCAGCTTCGAACTATTTTCAGGTCCTGAACACGACGATTCAGTCGAAGCGCTGACCAATAAAGCGGTTAAGCCATAACAAACCTGTACGGCAAAGCAATATTAAACACTCTGAAAGCAGCCACTGGAGTGCGCAATCTGTATGTTAGGGGATCTTTCAGTCCATTGACGACCATGCAGTCCACATGTGGACTGCACTTTTCTGGCCGTGGGGAACCGTGCAGTCCTCATGTGGACTGCAGTTGTATTTTTTGTTCTATTCATCTATATTTCCATTTTTTACAATTTTTCCTCTCAAAACATTACATCAGGCCTAAATGAAACTACATAGGGTGGTCCTAGAAAATCTTCCAATTTTGCAATTGTAAAGGTGTTTTTTCGAAGGAGCACATTACGTTGGTGAATTGTTCGTTCGTTGAACAACTTCAAAAAATGAGATATTTCAAAGAGACGGTCGTCATTAGCATTTTCGCTGTTATCGACCAAATGCAAAGCTCGTATAAGTTCCGCGGAAGGATTTCTGGTGATGATTGAACTCATAATTGAGTGGCCACTAGAACGAGTGCCGGTTCTATAATAAAGATCGATAATCACTCAATGTGGGCTTTCTTACCAAACCCATTTGAAGGTACATTCCGAAAAACTTATAAATTTTTTTATAAGCTTCAAAAAATGGTCATACTGGACCATGAATTCCACATATGGGCTGCAGTCGCGAGTGAGCTAAAAGGGCGCCATTCCCTCACGGCGCTTTTCCCGCAAACAACATGGTCGTCAATAGGTTAATTATTTACGTTTGATGGCCAAATGTTTTAAATCCAAATGCAGCCTTGATCTCCAATAATAGAGACGGAGTCGTTCCGAACAATCAAGCCCAATAATCATAAAAACAAAAAAGAAACAGAAAGAATCAACCAGAACCGATCGAAAAAGAAATACAGACAACATAAATATGGTGTCGTATCGATTGGTCGGCAGGCGGGCTGAGATGGTATTGCAGTTTGATGCCACGAGTTAAAAAAGATTTGCGTGCTGCAAAGCGAACGTGGGAAATCTTTGAAAAGTTCTACCTCTCAGGTTTCCTGAGCCTTCCTTACTACTTCCAAAACAAATGAGAGAGGCCTTGTTACTCCACGCAGGCCAGTGGACTAGAGGAGAAAGACGAGAAGCGTCAGCGTAGACAGCGACATCGATCGATGTATCAAGGAAACGATTACTTAGGTGATTCATGTTGAGATTTAACCTTTGAAATCGCTCGAGCACGTCGCATTTCTATACAAATTACAAGGCAATCAATGCCAAATATTAGGTTGATCGTAAGCCCTCGGACAAAGTAATAGTGATGACTTCTAGAGATCATAACTCGGGAAAGTTGAGACGAAAGTGAACGAGCTTGGCATTGTTAGATAGGGTATGAAAAGCTCTTCAAAATACATACTAACAAACACGCCTAACTGATTCCTTTCCTGCAATCATGCC